TCACCTTAAGATATGATGTAGCTCCTATCTTGGTATTTTGCTGCCTAGAATAAAATTGGAATTCTAGTTTTAAGGAAGGGGAGAGAGAATGTTCTTGGCTGACTAGTACTTTTTACTATAACATCCTCCTCATTAGCTACCCACCTCTATGCACAAACTTCTGCCTTCTGGAATTTCATATATCAGGCTCCACAAGAATAAAACATATCAATCTCTCAAAGTGAGCTCAAATAAACAGTTACAGAGTTCTCTAAGACGTTTGCTCTTAATCCTTATTCTACGTAAACTAAGGTTTCTTTGGACCTGAAAAAAAGATCATAACTGAGAATTAAATAGTCATGACTTTGGGGATTACTTCTATTGCCAATTAAACAGAGATGACACACTTAGAAAGTAGTTAAATATGAGTTAAAATTTTGCAAGGTAAAACCAAGTAAGATTGCTTTCCCTGACCTGCAATCAAAAGGGAAATGTATTTCAGAAGGAAAAAAGCAATCACATGAAAAGGTAAAGAATGGAACTGAGTTACCTGAATACAGTAATAAAATATCCAGGATTTTTAAGTGCTTATGTCTCTTCTATTCATCTGCCCACTTCCTACTTCTTAAGAAGTCAATTCATTCACTAGATTTTATACACAAATCTAGTCAGTCATTTTAGGTAATAATTCCTATGACATGGTAGATAAGTTAAAATTCCTCTTTACTGAATTGTCAGATTAAATTCAATTTAAATTTGATATTTATATGTGCATCTTAAAAGTTCATATATTTCTACAAGCAGTAAGCAGTATTAAGTTTGATGTTATCACAGTAATTATTCTTCTCAATTTTACTGTATCCTAGTAAAATAGAATCTTAATCTTGCATCATTTGTATCAAGTGACATTTACACTATCCAAATTTGAAAAACATGAATACATAACACAAACTTTAAAAAAAAATCAAGTTAAAGAAAAATATTTCCTGTGTCTTGTTAAAATAATTTATACATATTTTAAGCATATAATTTACCTTTTATGCTGGCTTCCAAGTTATAAACATTATTTTTTTTAATTTTCTTATTCCTATTACATAATTCTGATTTAAATCTTATATGAATCTCTGAAAACAAAACATATAGATTTTACATTCTTTGATGTAGGGGAAACTGATTTAAGGGGAACATTTTTTTTAACATAATTTGTTTAAATGAAGAAGGAAAAATGGAAATTCATAAGACTTAGTAACTCTTTCTATGTGTATAAATATAATAATTACTAACATCCTGGTATGTACATAAATCTTTATAGTTATATAAAGCTATGTCATCTCCAACTATATCTTATTAAATCATAATGGTCATTGTCTGGTGTGGCATGGAAGAGGCTCAGAACTTATCACTCTCATTCTCACAAGAGAAGATAAAAATGACTGAAAATAAATAACTCCTCTGAGGTCCATTAGAGTATTTAAGTCTGGGTGTTAGTTGCTAACCCTAAAATTAGAGATAGACTGATAGAGTCCCAACCTCCAAACCATAAGCGCAGATAAAATTGTGCTTATGGAACCACTGTAGGGAAGGGAAGTTTAAACTGATTTTTAAGCAGAAATCTTAAATTGAAGCAGACTTCAAAAAAGGAAAATTGTGGACAAAGAAGGGTATCACATAATGACAAATGAGTTAATTCTCCAAGAAAACGTTAAGAGAACATTATGAATATTACAATGCTAGGTTCCTGCAATTTTTGTGGTTTTGTTCTTAATACAATAGCAAATATTGTAAATTTAAACTTCTCTACTAAGTTTACAAAAGTATCTTTATTTTTGGCTTCAATCAAATGGACTTGCAAAAGCTTCACTTTTTTTTTTCCCATGAATTACCTGACCAACTTAAAAGGCTTGAACTCGCCTCTCTGTTGTTTGAAGCATCTGTGAATATACAATTAAAGTAATATAGATTAATTAACCGAAAATTTATTCTGTTCATGAAGTTAAAACTTTAAAAGCTCAGGTCACATTTTCTTCATGTGTGAGAAAATTTGCAATTGAAAATTATCAATTATCTAAAGTAACATTCACTTGATCAAACGAAAACTCAAGTTCAAAGAGTTCTGAATTTACTTACTGCAACTACCTGGGCTAAAATAACACCTTGGAGCACACTTTAGCATCTAAAATAACTACATACTTTTAAAGTAGATGCTGCTATTTCTTTGGAAAGGTTTTGCTTTCTTATTCTCAGTGGTCATTGAAATCTCTGGCCCTACATATTGTATGTATTGTGAAAAGAAAAATGTCATGAAATAAAATAGCTTGCAGATTTTTATTTTACCATCAATTAAAAACAACCACAGCATGAATATATGTTCTGATATCAGATCCCAATTTCTATTTTCTGTGTAGGTTTCTTATATCCAATCTATAACTTCCTCTTTTTACCCCTGATCCCCCCAATGAGGCCCCTGGGGTGTGCACATGTGTATCTGTGCTTTCCCTTGGTTCCGGTACTGTTCAAATTGCTTACAGCAGAGTTTGGAGTAATCCTTCACCCTATTGAAGTCCTCAGTATAGCAATTCTCCACTGTGTGTAAGTTTGCTCTGCAGGGACAACTGGCAAAGTTTGGAGTTGATTTTGATTATCCTTACTGGGGGAGGCCAGTGGATGGAGGCCAAGGACAACCTACAATACACAGACTCTTCCCTGAAACAAAGTATTGTTCCAACCAACATGTTAGTGTTGCTGAGGTCTAGCAACCTAAAGAGATCCCAGAAGCCTTCTGTGTCTGACTATAGTATTCAAAACATATAGTGAAAATTATGAAATATTGAACTTTCAGAAAACATGAGCATTTCCCCCAAATAACTTCCATTTAAAAATACTTATATAAAATACCACCAAGATATTAATGATCATTCATGTGATTAATACTACTTTTTAACTCCTTTCCCATACAAAAAGGCTTTGTTAATGATAGATAATTGGTCAACTTAAAATTAAAATAAGTGAATTAATTATTTTTAAAGCATTTTAACTTTGCATGTATGTGATGAAAATAAAACAAATAGCTCAGGACTGTAGAAGGTTATAAAATACCTTTCGAGGAACCTGCTTTTAAAAATTACCTCATTAATCCTCACACTATGCCTACAGGCCAGGCAATAATAATTACCGTATCTGTTTTACAGATGAGCAAACTTGGTCACACAAAGGTTAATTACTTACAAAAGTTTAATTTGAGAGTTGGTTATAAGACTGGAAATAATATGCCAATCTTATAACTCCAAATGATAAAACTATACATTTTTACTCTATATTAGTCCTAGCTCATATGCTGGATTTTTTCACTATTGTATGAGTAATTAAATTTTACTGTGTGGTCAAGAACTGATATGGTACCAAACATTATTTTTTTTATAAGTTTAGTGTATTTCCATTGAATGTTTATTAGAAAGAGGATATTCTGTTAAGTACTATGAGAATTTACAAGTCAGTGATAACAGGCAAGTTTTTCTAGCTCAGGACTATATTAAGCAAGGTTAGTCCTACATGTGATCTCCAGATCCAGATCCCTGATGCATGGAATTTCTTTTGATGCATGGGATTTGTTTTTCTGTTTGTGGATAAATAGAGATATCTAACAGGTATTTATAATTTTAATACTTATTATTGTCACATTGTATCCTTTTAAAAATAAAAATGTGTTTAGGAAAATAATATCTGTCCCTCTGGATATCCTAACAGAGTCTCTTCAGTATTGAACACATGGCAATAATCAATAAAGAGGATAAAACCTGGCACTTAAGAAATATGGAGTACATTTTTTTTTGTTGTTTTTTTAATCATTGAAAAAATTTTAATCTTATCAAATATTATGTTATATTGTTC